GATGTATGGGGATCATCCCCAGTTCCATCTCTTGCAGGCTCACTATATTATGTCACCTTCATCGATGATTCAACAAGGAAGGTATGGGTTTATTTTCTGAAGAAGAAATCAGAAGTCTTTGATACCTTCAGAAAATGGAAGGACATGGTGGAAAATGAGTTTGGTTTGAAAGTCAAACGATTGAGGTCTGATAATGGAGGAGAATACAGAGACAGTAGATTCAGAGATTTCTGCGTAAACAATGGGATCAAGATGGATACAACAGTTCCCATAACATCGTAGCAGAATGGCGTAGCAGAGCGCATGAACAAAACTCTGAATGAACGTGCCAGAAGCATGAGGATACATGCCAGATTGCCCAAATTGCTATGGGCTGAAGCTATCAACACTGTAGCTTACCTGATCAACCGTGGGCCCTCAGTTCCCTTGGATGGCGGAATACCAGAGGAAGCTTAGAGCAAGAAAGAAATAAACCTTTCACACTTAAGAGTGTTTGGTTGTATTTCTTATGTACACATAAACTCTGCTGAAAGAAGTAAACTTGACGTCAAGTCCAACAAATGCGTCTTTGTTAGTTACGGTGGTGATGAGTTCGGTTACCGGTTCTGGGACTACGAAAATCGAAAGATCATCAGAAGCAGAGACGTCATTTTCAATGAAAATGTGATGTACAAAGACAGGTCAACCGCAGAATCAAGTAATATCGAGGCTGAAACAAAGGAATTTGCTGAGTTCGAGGAGATTTCTGGAAATGATATTCAGATTAATCCTGAAGCAGTTCAAGAAGAACCACGTACACCAGAACTGAGACGCTCCTCCAGAATTCCTAAACCAACCCAACGCTATTCGCCTTCTTTGCACTACTTGTTACTGACTGACAATGGTGAACCAGAGTGCTATGATGAAGCAATGCAGGTGGAGGATTCAGTCAAGTGGGAGTCTTCCATGAAAGATGAGATGGACTCGCTTATGTCAAATCAGACGTGTGAATTAGCTGAATTACCACTAGGCAAGAAAGCGCTCCATAACAAGTGGATTTACAGGATCAAAGAAGAGCACGATGGGAGAAAACGCTACAAAGCAAGATTGGTTGTCAAAGGCTTTCAGCAAAAAGAAGGTATTGACTACAATGAAATTTTCTCTCCAGTCGTAAAACTGTCTACAATCAGACTAGTGTTGAAAATTGTAGCTACAGAGAATTTACATCTTGAGCAGTTAGATGTAAAGACAGCTTTCCTTCATGGTGATTTGGAGGAAGAAATCTATATGAGGCAGCCAGAAGGCTTCATAGAGGCAGACAAGAAAAACCTGGTATGCAGGTTGAAGAAGATCTTGTATGATTTAAAACAAGCTCCTAGACAGTGGTACAAGAAGTTTGATAGTTTCATGAGTAGAAGTGGTTTTACCAGATGCCAAGCAGATCATTGTTGCTACATCAAGAGGTTCGATAACAGCTTCATTATTTTATTATTGTATGTTGATGACATGCTCGTTGCAGGCTCAGATATGCAAGAGATTATAAACTTGAAGCAAAAATTATCGAAGCAGTTTGCTATGAAGGATCTGGGCGCTGCAAATCAGATTCTTGGGATGAGAATCAAAAGAGACACAAAGTCGGGGACTTTGATGTTATCACAGGCTGAGTACATCAACAAAGTACTCTCCAGGTTCAACATGCAAGATGCTAAACCAGTAAGTACACCTTTAGGTGTTCATTTCAGACTCTCCAAAGACCAATCACCAAAGACGGAGGAAGAACGTGCACACATGGTGAAGGTGACGTATGCCTCAGCAATTGGAAGTCTGATGTATGCCATGGTTTGTACCAGACCAGATATTGCTCATGCAGTGGGAGCTGTTAGCAGGTACATGAATAATCCGGGCAAGGTACACTGGGAAGCAGTCAAATGGATCCTCAGATATCTGCGGGGTACCACAAACAAAGCACTTTGTTTCAAAGGTGGAGATACTATATTGACAGGCTATGTAGATGCTAACTTAGCCGGAAATGTTGACATCAGAAGGAGCACTACAGGGTATGTCTATACTCTAGGAGGTACTACAGTAAGTTGGGTTTCTCAACTACAGAAGATAGTTGCTCTCTCCACAACTGAAACAGAATATGTCGTTGTTACGGAAGCCAGCAAGGAGATGGTTTGGCTCCAAAGTTTCTTGGAAGAGTTAGGCAAGAAATAAGAAAACAATGTCTTGTATTGTGATAGTCAAAGTGCTATCCATCTAGCGAAGAATCCGTCTTTTCATTCCAGAACGAAGCACATACAATTGAGATATCATTTTATCCGGTCTCTTCTGGAAGATGGGATTTTGAAACTTTAAAAGATTAGTGGAGCTCAAAATCCGGCAGACATGTTGACGAAGACGGTGACCACAGATAAACTGAAGTTGTGTTCAGCTTCAGTTGGCATCCTAGAGTAACAAGATCAGAAATGCTGCTGCAGTGATCGAGGTGTGAAGACAGATTAAAATCAGTTTTCAAGTGGGAGATTGTTGGAAAATAATTAAGGTGGGTGGGCAACTTTCGGTGGCTTTAAATGCACCGAAAGTTGGTTGTTGAAAATGATTTTTTGGCTTAATTACATTTTAGCTACTACATACTTTAAGGTATTTACAATATTAGTCCCTAAGTCTTAACTATAAATATCCTAGCTCATTTAGCTTCAAAATCATCCTAAAATCTTCTAGTTCTCTCTCAAGAATGTTTTGTAAACACCTGTAATTTTCTCTCTTAGTAAAAGAACTGCAGCAGTCCGGAGACGTAAGCACAATTGGCTGAACTCCGTTATCAATTTTCGGGTATTATTTTTCCGCTTTTATTTCGCATTCTCACTAATCTGGTTATAGAGAAATTACTCGTACTCGGTTTATTTCCTAACAGTATATAAGTAATGTTTTTTTGTATTAAATAAAATGTATTAAATAATGTTCAATCAATATGTTAAGCAAATCCTTGATTCATTGAACCCCAAAGAATTAATATTGAAATGTTCATATAATTAAACTTAATTAATGATAGTAATCCCTCGCCTTATTGGCCCAACCAAAGTAGTCGAACTGTACAAAACCATTATCTCAGTGGTTTAAAGAACAGTAGATCAAAAAATTTTAAGAATAAAAGTTTAATTTTCTTGTCTTAAAAATAATGAGTGTGCAAATTTTTTTTTCTTTTTTTTTCCCTTAACATATTAAATTAAATTTAATTATTTTCTCAAAATAATAGGGATGCACTTGGCCCCTACCGGTACTTAGTGCGTCCGCCCCTGGTTAATAGAATAATTGTTATTCCTATAGGTTCCAGTCTTCCAGATTCGAGCATTAAAGACTGCATGGTATTTGAGTATTCATTGTCAAATGATTGAGAGTCTTTATAACAAATACTATCACTTATAAGCATCTTATATTAATAAAAAAAGATGACAATTGAACTGGATGAAATGAAGGTTGAATGTTCTTTACGTATTAATTCACATTAAAAAAATTATCATTATTTTAATTGTGATCCGTTGTAAAGTATAAAATTTAAAATTATTATTATCACGTTATTTGTAAAATTAAAATCACTCTAAATTTATGACTTATATAAGTCTTAAGATTCATCTAATCCTCATTACATTAATTTCTCCATCCACTTCGTATAATATATTTATAAGTGTAAATTAAACAAATTTTAACTATTTTTTATGATAAGGCATGAAATATACATGTATTTTGAACTCCTACCACATACAGTAGAAACTCTTTAAATTAATACTCGGTAAATTAATAAATTCTCTAAAATAATAAATTTGTCTGGTCCCGACTTGGGCCAATGTAAAAAATTGAAAAACTTGATAAAATAATAAGATAATAATTTTTCGTGAGATCCCTTTATAATTTTCAGTCCCAAGAAAATCATAAATTAATAATTTCATAGAAACTGAAAAAAATATATTAGACTATATTGAAATATGATTCAATAGTTGTCTATTTTCCTTTAAAGTTCAAGTCTATTTGGAGCTCATTATTAATTTAACTCATCTCTTGCAACGTAATTCTAAGAGGCATATACTAATTTGTCTTTTTGTTTGGTATGTACAGTATAATTACTTAAAAACTCTTTAAATTAATAATTATTAATTTATCGATAAATTAATAACTCTCTAAATTAATAAATTTCTCTGGTCCTGACATTATTAATTTATAGAGTTTTAACTGTATATAACATTATTCCATTGTTATTTTTTTATAATAAAAAAACAACAAATCATCATAACTTTTTAATTAATAAATTAAAATATATAACTTCAATACGAGTTCAAAAATATTTAAAAATAAAATTTTTAAATAATATCTAAATTCAAACAACAATGTGAAATGAGTATAAGATTAAACTCACACTTATCCCATCATCTACTACGGGTCTAATTTTATTCACATTCCTACCTCACTCTCCATAAAACTTATACTCATCTTCATCTAATTAAGTAGGAGAAATCCATCCCAGTGACAGACCTAATGACTTCTTTATTCTCTTCAACAGATTAAACTAAGAACAACCTTTGTACAAACGGTTTACAAGTTGGAAATGGAACCCAAATGTTTGAATATATGAAACATCCTTTAGCTGACCATATAATAAAGCTGTATGCATTCTATATATATAACAAATACTTTGTATAAACTATTCTAGTTACAATTACTGTAAGTTTGATAAACAAACATAAACTAAACTGTTCATTCACAACCCTATACTGATTAGATTTGCAGCTCTAATATGTGAATGTATGGCATTAGAGTTGCAGAAAACATTAAAATGTATTGGCTTAACGATGGAATCAATCTGGTTCATTAACATGCAATGAACGCAAAAATCAAATGATGATATAACACCAACAACACCTCATTAAATCCTACTCTGATACATGTGATAAAAGCAAGTTCACAGCGAGTGAAAGAAAACTGAAATTTGCTCGAATAATGATCAAGATCATATGGATAAATAGCTAGGAAATTGGGGTCAAGGATGAAATTTCTTCACTCAGTTTCTGTTGCAAGCTAGGTATATCGACTAATGCCAGATCAGTGACCTATAACAACACAATGAAAGGTTGCACTCGGTGATTAGCAAGCTGGTAACGATAAGAAATAAACCCTAAACCTAGAAGGTGAACGTGTGATTATACCTCAGATTGGATAGTGTGAATAATCAGTCCTCCATCGATTCTAGTCGAAACGCAGCTCACAACATCAAGTCCTTTCTCGGCCAGTAGTTTTAGGACCTTCGATAGGGTCAAAGCTCGAGCTCCAACACAGGTGCTGATCACAACTTCAACACCATCCAAAGACTGGCGAACCACTGCACTGCTTGTGAGACCGTCGTTCGAGCTAATCCCTTGGTCGCAACCACTCGAATCGGACAGCTTCTTTAACTCGTCTCTCTTGGAACTCAGCTCACGGATCCTCTTCTGCAAGTCTTTTATGTAGATCACAGCCCCGTTCATATGATCTGAAACTGCACGCTTTCCCTAAAACCCCATGGAAGGAAAAAAGGGGTAACCCTATGGCCTAAACTCATAAATATTAAACCGAACAACAACAGAAGCAAACTCACCTTGATGTACTCGAGGGGAAGAAGGGTTCGGAGGGAAGCATAAAGGGTGGCCATTTCTTGCCTCCTTTGCCTCTCGACATCCCTATGCATCGACTTCTTCTTATCATCATCATCACTGCCGTCGACATTATCACCTGCCAATAATTTCGCTTGGCGGCCTCGACTACCCATAGTGCTGTACAGATGACTACCACCAATGCCGTCCTCGGGATCATATCCCGTAAAAGCTTATCTTGTGGGGTAAAAGGAAGAACAACACGTCATCCATGGCTTTGGTGTAAAAGGAACATGTTTTATGGGCCGGGTGAAGTGTTCATCCCTTTGTTTGGGATTTGAGGGTTTGGGGTTGGGGACAAGATTTTGTTGAGGCAAAAGCATGTGGATGCGTTTGTTAGAGTGAGAGATCTTCGACTGGGGCCTAAGATTTTCAATGATTCCTTACAACCAAGGGGATAAGATTGCTCATGAGACATGAGTCGTGGAACTGATATCTCTACTCTTATACATTAGGTTTAAATATACATTTCATACTTTAATTAAACATTTTCTTCCGATAAAATAATTAAATAAATTTTATTCACAAATTAGTACTTAGGTTTTAATTTCATTCATTGTTTTTGATATTTTTAATCTTTTTCAAATTTTATTTAAAGAAAAAACAGAAAAGACGACATCATAATTGACATATGGTATATAATTTTATGTTATCCTGCCATCAAAGATTAACATCGTGAATAAAGATATCAAAATAATAGATGAAATTAAAGTTTAGATATTAAAAGCCAACTTAAGGGGAAAATACTTTATTCAAATACCAAATGTATATTTTATATTATATAAAGTCACATTGTGGGCACTATGTGTATTTTATGTGTAAAGCTGGTCAGAAAGCCACCTACTCTTAATTTATGTGGATTTGCCTTGTATTATAAGCCTTCTATTTGAAGAAATTCAAAGAAAGAGAAATGTCAAGGGTCCCTAAATCTTGATCATGATTTTTCTCCAATTTTTTTAAGAATATATATAAATATATATATATATATGTATGTATGTATATATATGTCCAATGAAAAGGATACGAAAATGTATGGCTAATATTTTAATAATTCGATTGTTTTTTAATTAAGTTAATTAAGAGGGTTACTGATGATATCTTGGTTCAATGAAGATTGGGATCCTTAAAACTTTGAAGTCTCAGCTTTAGATATGTTGATTTTTATTATACATTTTATTATTTTTTTGTAAATCATAATTATTAGGGTTTGTACTTTTTTTTAGTCGCCGTTAATCTCTTTTCTTCTTTATCTTTGTAATCAACGATGATATTAATTTTGGTGTTGGTCGTCGATCGTCGATATTCATTGTTTTTTATTTTATTTATTATAGCGTATTTTTTCTTGTTTTTTATTTTTAATAATTATGCATTTATCACACGTCTTTTTCTACTTTTATGACACGCTTTTCGATCATTTGACCATTATTTTTGTTTATCTTTTTTTCAAGGTTGAAATTGGCATCATCACGATGCTAAATATGACACTTTATTTGTTATCATGTTGATTTTTTTTTCTTTGGACCCTTGAATCGGATTTGGATACGCGGTTTGTGTTCGTGGATAATATTTTCACATTGATTGATTCTAATTTGCAATTTTCATGTAGTCTTTCGATAGCTTCATCCCCTTTTGCAGCTCGCTTGTCGATGCAATCAGATATCTTCGTATCTATCTTTTGTTCGAGTTTAATTGGTTAGATTCTTTAACCTTCTTTGTATAGTCCTTGTGTGATCTTAAATGTCTAGTTTTCTTGTGTTTAAAAAAAATATTCTTATTATGTATTTAGTTTACGATTTTTAATCGTAAACTTTTATTATAATTTGAATATTATCTATTTTTAATAAAAATTAGTGACTTCTGTTAAAAAATTATATTTTGTAAATGAGTATTAAATTAAAGGGTAAATAATGCAAATGATCCCTAACTATAGGATATTACTTTATTAAGTCCCTCGACTATTAAAAGTTATAAAATGGTCCTTCGAATATGAAGTGTTGTTTTGTTGAGTCCTTCGACTATTAAAATGCTACAAAATGGTCAAACGACTATTCATTATGTTTCAAACTTGTCATTTTTCGTTAAAAATAGATGATATTCTGAATTGAGCGTTAACTTGTTGAATGTGATATGATAAAATTTGATCCCAAAATCTCAAATGACTACCATATCGTAGTGATCATGTTAACGTTTAACTTAAACAACTGTAAATTTTTTAATAGAAAATGACGAGTCTAGATCATAATGACCATTTTAGAGCAATTTGATTAGGAAATGTTGGTACAACACTCCGCCCAACCCTAAAACAAGATAAGAATCCGTAGAAAGTTTTAGTTTTTAGTTAACTTCATTAACTATCATCAACATCAAACTTTGCATTCTTAAAGTGTATGTTTTCAAATATAACATCGACATTTGTCATATATCCTTAAAGGCCCCATGGAGACACCTATTTACATTAGGTGATTCAAATGACCATGTCACGTAGTGAATTTTGGAAGCTGCAAGCAGCGATGAATCGAGGGGACGGGTGGCAGCAGATGTCATCTGAAAATTTAAAATTATCATATATTTTAAATTTTTTATGTCTTTTCTATTAGAAATATGTTCGCCTCTGAAATTTTGGTTTGTCCTTAAGTTTAAATTTACCTCTAACATAAAATCGTGTGTTTATTCATTCACGTTCGTATAAAAGGACCCAACGTTGCTAAGACCAGTTTTCTGCTAATAAAATAGCTTTATCATGTCTAGCTGGACTCCACTTTTTTCAAGAGTTGTATATGCAGAAATAATACTAATCAAGGAAGATGCTCTGCGACTGAGGCGGAGCTGTGGGGAGTTTTTGAGGGGCTGTTGCTGCCTTGGGACTTGGGTTTCAGATTGGTCGTGATGGAATCTGACAACAAGCAGGTGCTTCAGACTATTTCGGAACCGGGAGAGGGCGTCCGAGCTTCCTTGTATTATCGGATTGCAGCAATCCTCAAGAGAGATTGGAGAGTTCAATTGGTTCACGTCCCGAGGGAATGCAACAGAGTGGCCGACGGAATGGCTCGAATAGCTTGGAATCTTCCTTTGGGAATTCAATTTTATCACGATCCCCCTGCAGTGATTTCTCCGGCGTTCTCTGATGACTATCATCAAGAGTAGCCTGTTTGCTTGTACTGTTATCCACCTTATCATTCAAAAATAATAATAATATTAATACTAATCAAGGAAAAACACATGTTTTCACTTTGAATTAAAAATAAATAAAAAATATAATTATTTACGAGTTGAATGTTAAGAGGAAATATAAGTCACGTTAGATTAGATTTTTAATTCTCCCGATTTCATCCGAGTGTAATATATTTTCATTCATCTTTCAATTCGAATATTAGTATTCGAATCTCAATAATAGTTTCATTTAATGGATAATGTATTCTGTCTCAATTTTCTTTTGTCAAATGGTATTTCCTTTGATCCAGCAACACATGCATGCATGCATCTAGGTGTCTGTATGTATACATGGCTGAGAATTTCAAATGCTTCTAAGCATGTAATGTATATGTATATAATACAATGGAGCATGGACCTTAGGGTTGGGATTGCATGTAATTCATTAATTATTATGACAACGATGATAATGAATCTTGAAGCAGATTACTTATTTGATTTTATTCCCTATAAATCGAGCTGGCAGATCTTCCTGCAAAAAAGAATAACTAAAGGTGGAGATTATGGCCATGGGTGAGCTGGCCAAGAAAATTGGACAGATACTTTGAACTTCTTTTTACCTGAATATCAGATCATATATTATTGGCATCAAAACAACACAAGATCCTTATGCTTATATATATGTATCTATGTACGACAGACAATACACATTACCCCATTATGAAATATATATATATATATATGTATGTATGTATGTATGTATGTATGTATGTATGTATGTATGTAATAGAGATAAGTTCCATGTATCTAATATTCCTATCATTTGATGAGCAGATGACCAATTAGATAAACATGGAAGAGAGTCATACAATGCTGCAAAGAAGCTTGATTAGGAAAAGGAAAGCTGATCATGCTATGTTTAATTCATCAATAAAGGTTGAATACCGTAATAAAACACGTCGCATTTCCGATGAAAGAATTTAGATTTGAGTCTTAGAGAAAACATTATTAGAAAGATCAATCGTAATGTCTAAACATGCGTACCAAAATGAACACGAAAATACCAAAAAAATTATTCATAAAATTCAACTTTTGTAATAAGTGGATTATTACGAATAATAACAAGTAATGGACTGCCAATCAAAATGAAAAAGAAAACGAATAGACTAATTTTACGTGAAAACACCTCACCGAAAAAAATTACATTCAGATAAGAAGAAAATTCATTGGGATCGGCCTAAAGCCTCCACGATCACTGCGTATTTTCTTTTTATCTTCCGTTTTTAGTTCTTCACCAAACGATCATACCGTGAATTTTTTGAACTGGACCAAACATAATTCATGTCAAAATCTTTTTTCCAGATCAAAAGCACGAAAACAAGTTGGTTTCTTCAAATTAGAAGTCAGATGATGTCAATATATGCTAGTGGTGAAAGATCAACCAAACCCTATCAAACCTAAAATACAAAGCTAGTTTTGTTACTTCACCAGCTTTGGGTATAGTTTTTTTTTTTTTTTTTTGTAGCTTGGATATGTCGATGCTTGTTGGATCAGTGACCTGGCGAAGTGAAATCCAATCAAAGAGTAAATCAACTCGGCTTTTTGAAACAGAAACAAAACCCTAATTAAGTCCCAACATTATTAAGATTATAAGAATCCCACCTCGGTTTGGATGGTATGAAGCAAATATTCTTCTAATTTTGTGGAAACACAGCTGACAACAGGCAGTCCTTCATCGACAAGCACAGACAATACTCTTGACCGGGGCAAATCTTGGTCTCCAACACCACAACGAAACATAATCGCAATGCCGGTGACAATAAAAATTTTAAAAACTTCAGTAGAAAAATAAAAATTTATTCAAATATTAATGACCATTTGTGTAATTTACCCTTTTTAATTTTATGTATTTACTATGCCACATCAACAATCTGTTAAAAATCTAACGGCAGTCAACCCTTAGTGACTGCATCTTAATTAAATGAAAATGAAAGTGACAATATATTATGTTTTTTAAATCAGTGATAAAAAATAAACAAAACATAAACAAAAATGATAAATCATGT